GCCAGAAAGACGAGGCGAAAAAGCAGCTGGCCGACGTCCAGAAGGAGTGCAATCAGCTCAAGGAGCAGCACAGACGCGGACAGGGACAGCTGCGCGAGGTTGAGGCAAAGTCTAAAAAAGATAGCAAGGACTTGCAGGATTGCAAGACCAAGCTCTCCAGGACGGAAGATGCACTGTGCGAAGCGCGTAAGGGCGCCAAAGTTCAGTCGGAGGTGCGCGCGTCTCTCGTAGGCACTGCCGTCAACGGGGCACACATTCTGAAAGCGCGCAAATCCGAGCCCTGCAAGAGCGCACAGAAGGGGCTTCCTGAGTGTGAACAGGATTACAGCGCTCAACGCAAGACTTCGAAGGCAGTGGCACCACGTAAGAGCTGCGAGACAGGCGAACATCGGGTCAAATCGACGGGCGCGCGGGTCTAAGAACAATGCATCGACTGAACCGAGGTAGTCGAGATCCGCCTTCAAAGAGGTCAGTAGCGTTGGTAGATGCGGTGCTATCTCATTCGTGCTGGCTGAAACTAGCACTCTACAACCTTGTGTCACATCTCCATCGGCTTTGCACAGTACCAGCAAACTCCTGAGCGCGGAACACGTCAGTCTCGCACTTGTTCTCGATGCTGCAAGAGCATCAAGCAATGCTTCGTCATGCCCACGACCAGCAGCACAAAGCCAGCGTGCGCCTTGCCAACGCTTGCCGAAACAGTCACAACTCAAACCACTGGAGATCCGTCCTCCATCAACGAACTTTCATTGAGCCAATTCCAATTCTATTATGGCACGCACGTACGCCTGCGGTCTTCAGACGTTCAATTCTTGATCTTCGTTGCTCCATCAACCTTTCTAGTCCGACGATGCTCCCTCTTCTTACCCCAGCACCCTTCATCTCGTGATCCAGCAGTGTCGTGTCAACTTTATATTGCACTTCGCCGATCCTCGGCCAGCATTTCACAATTCCATTCTGCTCTCCGTTTGCTCGAATCACTCGCCTTGCTATCGAACGGAGCATGATTCTGACGTGGCGCTTTTGCCGGCTTCCATCCCTGTGAAGCTGCACACTGGTCATGCGTGGGCGCCACGAAAAGTATTGCAAGTTTGGCACCACTGGTTGTCTGATGCAGCAGTGAATTGGATCACGCAGTGTCCACTCGAGAGCGCTACAGCCGGCGCGCCCTCGATGAGGTACTCCCGCTGCGATGTCACAGCGGCTCGAGCATCCGATCTGTGATCCATCTCCAAGAGAGTGAGACAAGCAGGAAGAGCACGCGGCCCACTGCACTTGTGGCAGCCGATGCGAGGGCTTGACCTTCGCATACACTGCCTTACCATGCTAGTCCATCACTCTGCAAACGTCTCGTTCTGTATCACGGACCGCTCGCTGAGACACGTAGCTCGCGAAGAACGCACGGTCCCCTTCAATGCTCGAGGCAACTGAACGGTCTGAATAGCGCATGGGCCCCTCTCTTGTGCATGTATATAAGTCTGTTCCAGTCCCTCCAGTCAGGCCCCTGCTCGATGCAAATTTGGTCTCTTCTCACAACAGCTCGCAGCTTTGCGCTACTATCTTTGACGTGTTGCATGCTATCTATTCATCAAAAGGCGGGTAAAAGGACCATACTGCTGCTCTTTGTTGCTGGACTTCTTCTAGCGGATCGCTGCGTAAGAGTCCGGGTCGAGAAAAGGAAAAGTGGTGGCAGAGGAGACTGGTAGGCCTTGCCAAGGACATGAAGGGAGAGACCATTGTTGCTGCAACATTCAAGCTCGCCAGGCGCTTGATCAGCTTGAAACGCTTTGCCCCGCTCAGTCGTTCGTGAATACCTGAGGTAGAGGGCAGCGAGGAGAGGTTGGTCAAATGAAGCGATGAATGCGGCAGAGGCAGAAGTGTCCTACCTTGTAAACGTATTCCTTCGTGGCGATGCACACCTGTCGACCACGCTTGAAGCAGAGCATCGCCTCCTCGGGGTAGAGAACCATAAGCGTAGGAGCTCCCAGCACGCCAAGTATGACGAGAAGGTCCTTGCATCGCTGGAATGGACCACTCAAAAAAGTGTGGTAAATCCACCAAGCGGCGTTGCAAAGGACCAAAGCGAGTAGCAGTCTCTCCAGTCCTCGGAAGCGCTTCTGCGCCGCTGCTTCACTTGCTGCTTGACCTTGCGCAAGATTGCTGCAACTCGCGATCAGTTCCCGCGCCACTGCATCGCGCACGATGCTCGCGATGCGATCTTCGCCGAGTCCGACCGACACAGCGTGAGTGATCTGCGCCTGGGTGAGCACCGGGGGTTGACGGCGACCATTCAATTGGTCATCCAAAGACGCGCGAATCGCTTGCGTGATGGCGTGGAGTGCGGAATGCGGCAGAAGAGGTGCTGAAGCGGTGCTAGGAGCTGCGGTGGGCTGGAGGAAAAGGGAAGAACCAACCAGGCTGTCAGCGGCGTGTAGCCAGGTGGGCCAGATTGCGCTTAATGATGCGGCATGCATCCTCTAGCACCATTCCCTTCATCACTTACGGCCACGCTGAGCTTCAAGTAGTCGGGTGGCGGACTTCCCAGATGGCTCGCCGAGGCGTAACGAAATGTGCGCGTCGAAGGTGCTCGTGGCACGGGGGAGCCGGTCGAAGAAGCTCCGGCGACGTCACTCTCCGAGTAGCGCGGACGCGCAGGCCTACCGGACATCTTTACATAGGCGAGTGACGCTGCTCGTGAGCATAGGCAGATAAGAAGTGATGCTCCTAGGCAAGGCAACCGAGATCAGCATGCGTGATGCGCGCAAAGAGCATACACGATGCGGGAGCTGCCAGTACGAATGTGAGCGTACTCACAGATCAACAAGAGTGGAGCATGCTGAGTGGTCGCATACAAAATGCTCGCAAGCAGAGACGAGAGGTCGGAGTTGATGATGAGAGAAAGGCAGAGAGAGGGATCTTGCTTGTCGAAGTGATGCGCGACGCGAATGGATGTACTGGAGGAAGGCACGCAACACTCGCGCGCAACACTCGCGCGCAACACTCGCGCGCAACACTCGCGCGCAACACTCCACACGCGTGACTCTGACTGCCAATTTGCTGAGTCGGTTGCGCGCGATGCAGGGCTTCATTGACCTCAGCTGGCGCGCGTGCCGCGGTGCATCTTGCTCTTGCGGCATCGCGCACGCCTGGTCTGTTGATGCAGCGCACTCCCGCTCTTGGCTCGTGCCTGACCTCTCGATATTCTCGCTGGGTCACCCCGTCCTTCCCTTGGTTGCCGCACGCGCACGGACTCGTGACCCGCAAAGCAAAAAAAAGAGCTGGCGAATGGAGAGGGCTGTGCAGACTTCACGAAGCGCCATTCACGTGACCGTAGACTTGTACGCATGAGCGTGGATCATCCCGAGCAGATCTCTTCCTCCAGCGTCACGATTCACGAGTCGGCACTTGACTGCGCGATCGACAGCGCATCGGGCATCCGCACAGCACGCACAAATGTTGTCTGCCGCTGCTCCACTTGCTCGCCGGCCCTTGTAGGTGAGCACGTGATGCACTTCTGCCGTTCAAGCCGTGAAATCCCACAAAGCGTCTGGACGCCTCGCAGTCCTTGAACGCCGCATCTGAGCAGCGGCCGCGCATCGATGCGGGCATGCAATTTGCACTCAACGGCTTCGCCGTCCCTGCAGGCGTACCCGCAAGACCCTCGTTGGTAGCGGCTTTGTTCTTCAACCACCTTCACTCGCTGCTCTCTACAACGAATGAGATGCTGTATGAGCGTGAATCACGAGCGACATTCTAGTCCAGCATTGTTGGACAATATGCGCTGCTTGGTAGGCTGCGAGTGTGAGCAGATCGAGACACTCTTCTACTTGACGCGCGATGCGGCTTCGGCTTCGTTCCTCTTTGTCACCTTGCCCACCCCACTCGCCTCTCACTTCACCTCGAATCATCATCACACACCCTCCTCCCCTCACATTCTCAAATCCATACGGTAGATCGCATCGAAGATGTCCAACGAACGCACTGCAATCCCCTCCTCGTCTGCTGCTCTTGCGCAGACACCCACGATGAGCAATCCATCCAACGCTGTGCGCGCTCCAGCCGCACCATCCACACCCACTTACCTTTGGGCGCACTCTTCTCGCAAGACACGTCAGTTTGCAGTCGGAAAAGTGCATCTGACCCCCAAGCGCGCGGTATATCAGGTGCACCAATTACATTCACTTTGTAACTGCCAAATGGAAGACATGCGGGAGCAGAGCGCGAAATGGCAAGAGATTTGGAAGCGCGAGGGCGAGGCGGTTCGAGCTTCGCTTCAGCAAGCGCAGGATAGCAGCACTTTGAGCGGTAAACGACTCGTTGTGCGTCTCGCTGAAAAGTCGATGGAACTTTCTAAACAAAAACGCGAAACAGAAGAGACGAAGCGCGCCTACGCAACGGCTTTGAGCGTCGCAGAGCAGGAGGCTCTGGTGGCTAAAGCTGAGCAAACTGAGCTCGAGCGCATCGCCAATGACCTCAGGGCAGAACTCAACGAGCAGGAAGAGGCGCGCTTTGTTGAGCAAGGCATCGCAAATGAGGCTTGCCGCGGCCTCAAGTCCGAGAAAGAAGAGCGACAGCATGCTCAAGAGCAGTGGCGTCTTGCACAGAGGGAGGTGGAGAGGCTCAACAAAGTCGTCGTGAGGCTGGAAAGGGAGCGCAAGGTGTCAGATAGCAGGCACATGCAACAGATGGAGCGATACTCGCGGATTCTTGCCAGCAAGAACAAGGAGTTGGAAGTCAACGGAAAAAGTTCTCCGGGAAGGCAGCGTCGTCGCTCCTGCGACGTCCGTCACACGACAGAGAGGTCAGATGTTGCACAAAACTGCGGTGATGAGGACGCCGATTCCTTCTCTGGCAGTCGAGAGGCAGCGAAAGCCTCGTTGACAAGCTTGGAAAGCAGTGAGGATCACAAAGAAGAGTCGCACGATGAAGATCTCTCTGTGAGTGCTTCTACCGTTCGCGTGCTCTTGATGTGTAGTCACTGATCGGACTTGCTTCTCCAAAATGTCAAGCTGGACGAAAGCGCAGACATGGCTGTGTGCTTCGAAAATGCAAACGAGGCAGCGTCGGCTGCATCTTTGGGCGAGAGTCTGTCTAGAAGTGGATATACGGACTCCTCTGGCACTTCTTTGGCGCACACGAGCGCATATAGCGAGAATAGCTCGTATGGGAAGACGCGCACCGTTCTGAAAGAACACGTGACGCTATCTCTAGCACTGATCAAGACGAAAGGAGAGCATCACGGGCTCAAAAGCTTGGCAGAGCTTCGCATCGGCTCACGTCTGCCCATCCTTTCGCGCCATGCGGTCCTGGCCGAGTAGAGCCACTACTGCTACTGCGTAGTTGGTGGACAAAAGCATCACTGAAGCCTCTGTCGGACAACGGAAGAAGGCACAATCTTTCCGCGGCCAAATTTTCGTGGATGGCCGGCATGTCTTCGCCTTGATTATCAAGTCCATCTTGAAGTTCACAAACGACTATAAAGACCTTTGCATCATCTCAACCCTTTCGAGCAAGCGCACCACTCATGCCATTCTCTAGACTATCCATACAATACAATGAGGGCGCAATATCGAGTCGTGATGCCCCTGCCAACCAGTCGTCCTCGTCATGATTTGTAATACAAATTGCAACGCTGCGCAGGTCTGATTGTGAAGGAGCACGAGCATCACGTCGGAAAAGCGGGTCTGAGTACTCACTGCGTTGCGCGTGCTGTGCAGTGATACATGATCAGACTCCAATGCCAGCTCCTCAGCTCGAAACGGATCAGCATATCACTCAACTGAATCGCATTCTCGTCTGCCTCTATGGGAGCGGGCGCAGCAATTACCACTCGTCCGGTCGAATGAAATAGGACATTCTTTCAAAGCAGTCTTGAGAGCGCACAGACCTATTTTTCCTCGGGGAGATGTCGTGAATCAGTTTACGACAAAAGTGAGCCATGTTGTAAAAGAACAAATGCATGAGAAAGTTCTACAAATTTGGGTCTTGAAGCTGAGCCCATGATGTCATCGTTGTTGGCGGGCTTTGAGAGCATGATTGTCCTACTGAAGAAAGCAG